AAGCAATCTATACTACCCAAAGCAATCTTTAGATTCAATGCAATTCCTATTAAAATACAAATGGCATATTTCACAGATCAAGAAAAGATATTCCAAAAATGTGTATGGAACCAAAAAAGACTCCACATAGCCTCAGAAACCTTGAGAAAGAAGAACAAAGTTGGAGGGATCACAATACCTGATATCAAACAATACTACAAGGCCATTGTAATCAAAACAGCCTGGTACTGGCACAAGAACAGGCATATAAACCAATGGAACAGAACAGAAAGCCCAGAAATAAACCCACACCTATAAGGTCGACTAATATTTGAGAAAGGTGGCAAGAACATACAATGGGGTAAAGACAGTCTCTTCAATAAATGGTGTTGGGAAAATTGGACAGGTACATGCAAAGAAATGAAATTAGACCACCAAATTACAAACATAAGAATAAACTCACAATGGATAAAAGACTTAATTGTAAATTTCAAAATCATAAAAGTCCTAGAAGACATAGGCAGTAAAATCTCAGACATCTCTCAGAGCAATGTTTTTGCTAATGTATCTCCTAGGGCAAGGGAAACAAAGAGAAAAACAAACAGATTGGACTACATATCAAATAAAAAGTTTCTGCACAGCAAAAGAAACAATCAACAAAATGAAAACAGAACTCACTGTATGAGAGAACATATTCTCCAATGACACACCTGATAAGAGGTTCATCTCCAAAATATATAAAGAATTTATACAACTCAACACCAGGAAGACAAATTAAAACCAAATAATGAATCTCACATCTGTCAGAATGGCAATTATCAATGAATCAACAAACAAATGATGGTGAGGATATGGAGAAAAGGAAACACTTATGCACTGTTGGTAGGAATGCGAACTGGTGCAGCCACTGGGAATATGTAATCATCAATTCAAAAGAATATATGCACTTCTATATTCATGACAGCATTTTTTACAATAGCCAAGACCTGAAAACAGCTCAAGTGACCACCTGTAGATGAGTAGATAAAAAAAGCTGTGGTACATTTACACAATGGAATACTACACAGCTATAAATAAGAAGGAAATCTTACCTTTTAAGACAGCGTTGATGGACCTGGAGAGTATTACGGTAAGTGAAATAAGGCAGTCAGAGAATGGCAAGTACCATATGATCTCACTTATATGTGGAATCTAATAAACAAAATAAACTGATGAACAAAATAGAAACAGAAGCATGGACAGTATATGGAACAGACTGACAGCTGTCAGAGAGGAGTGGGGAGGGGGAACTGGATGAAAGAAGGTGAAGAGATTAGCCAAAGAACATATAGGTGTAATCCATGGACACAGACAATAGTGTGGTGATGGCAAGAGAGAAGCGGGGAGGGGGTCTGGGTGGAGGAGGGCAAAGGGAAGGAAAATGAGGAGATCTGTAATAGCACCAACAATAAAACATTTTTTAAATGTGAAAAAAATATATATAAAAAAAAAGGTAACATGTCTACAACCAATTTGTTTGTTTATCACAATCAACTAAAATTATTCAGGTCTGATGCAATTTCACTGATTGAAGGATCATCCTGTGCACCAAAATGTTGCAGGTTCGAACATACCTAGGTTGCGGGTTTATTCCCTAGCTGGGGCGTGTACGGGAGGCAACCAATCAATATTTCTCTCACATCAATGTTTCTTTCTCTCTCTTCATCTTTCTCTAAAAATCAATAAAAAAAAATCCTCAGTTGACAATTAAAAAAAAATAAAAAAGATTCTCACAAATCTGTCAACAGGGAGAAATCCTGAATAATGGATCTGAAGGTTCTTTTGAGAAGGGAATTCAAAGGGCAAGATGGGCATAGTAACCATAGTGCAGGCCACCACCTCACCACAGTTCACTGTCGGAGTACCCACTGAGTTTACAGTTTAAGATAAACATGAAACAAATGAGGCAAACTCCACACTCTTCTCCTACCCCCAAAATCCCAGAGTAACTGCCACTGTGAGCTAAGAAAAAATATTGCTTAAACTGGTACATTAGCTCACTATATATTTTTTAGAAATCTCAACTGAGGTATCCTACGGACAAAGAAGTGTTCTGGAACATGAGTACTTTGAAACCTATTAAACACTTAACTGTGATACATGCCTTCCTGTAAAACCACAGGAAGTGATGAACAAATGTGGCTGATTGACTGGCAGTGCCCAAATCCCAACTATCGAGTATTAGAATCCATGAAGTATTTGATATTTACTACAATACTTTTTGTTAACTATTTTAACTTTCTTTTGAAAAACTGGTTATATTACTGATCATTTAGATTTATTGATGATAACCTCTAGCCTTAAAACAATATTGATGCAGCTGGTCAAGAATGAAATTTCCACAGAGAAGCAAGCAGGGGCTTGGCCAGCACTTTCTTTAAAAGCAACTGTGAATGTTTACTATGGCTTTATGGACAATTTTAAAAGATCATATAATTTGTTCATCCATTTTTCCCAAAAGGAATAGCATTTGTCTGATTTAGCATCCCTTTAAACAGGCTTTTGAAATTGAAATAATTATAGATTCACAAAAACTTTCAAAAATGGCACAGAGAAGTCCTGTGTAACCATCACTCAGCTTCCTCCAATGGAGGAAGGTGTTATTCATCCATAACTGTTGTGTTCGTCAAGACCAGAAAGTCAGTATCAGCAAAGTACAACTGATCACTCTATCAAGAATTTCTATAGAAACTCACTGAAAAAAACCTGAAGTATGAATGATAGACAGAAAAGTTCACATGTAAGCTTTGATGAATTTTCAGATCAAATAAGCCCACGTAACCAGCACTCTAACAAGAAGCAGATTTGCCAGCCCTCCAGAATCACCCTTCCTGTCTACCTCCTTAAGATTTCTAACAGCACACAGAGACATTGCTTTTATTGTTTTCATAAAACTGAGCCAAACTGCATATTCTCTTTTGTGTCTGCCTACTTTCGCTCAGCATGGTGTTGGTGGGACTCATACATAATCCTGCATGTAGTAGCAGACTGTTCATTCTCACTGCATTGCAGTATCCCATGGTGTGAATATACCATCACTTAACAAATCCACTAGGTGGGCATCTGGGTAGTTTCCAGTATTGAGCTTTCATGAAGAGTGTTTCTAAGAGTATCCAAGTACGTGTCATATGCATTTGTGTTGGGTATGTACTAGGAGCAGAACTGCTGGGCCACAAGGTATGTGTTTGCTCAGCTTTAGTAAATAGATATCGCTACTTAGTTTTCCAAAGTGGTTGAATTAATTTACACTCCCCCCAGCAATGAGTGTGAGTTCCATTGCTCCACAATTTTTCAGTTTATCCATTCTGGTGGGTATTTAGGACATGTTTTAGAAAGGAGAATTATAGAGTTAAACACCAAACAGAATACTGGTAGAATAACCAAAGCAATAAATTTTTTTCCAAATAATCCAGACTCTATCTAAAGTATTTTATAAAGCAATACAATCAAAAATTCCAAAATCGCTGTTAAATATCTTCTTATTTGATTAATTAAATCATCCTGAGTTGGTGGTATGGCTGTATTTTCCAAACATGTCTGATATTATGAATCACTTGGGATGGTGACTGTAAAAACAGATTTTCAGACTATCTATCAGATCTCCTGAAGGAGAATCTCTTTGGAAAGGCCTTGGAATCTTTTCACAAGAACCTACGCGATTCTTATTATCAGGCAAATCTGGAAAACACTGCTATAGGGCAATCCTTTTACATTAACTGTTTAAAAATAAATCAGAGTGGAAAGTTACGACTTTGGGGATTTCTTTGGAAAGTCCCAGCCCCAGAACCTTTCTGGATATTATCAAGTTCTATAATAACTTCAGACAAATATTATTTTAATAGTTGGATAAACTGAGGCCAAAAATGCCTTGCCCTGGGTCCTTGGGTAATACCTAAACTACCAGAGAGGGTTATGTGTGATAGACAGCATTATTGATATTTCCAATCTTCAAAAGAAACCAGTTTTTCCTACTAACAGGGCTATAAAAAAAAGGGGGGGGGGGAATCTGTAGTTTGAAAGGATTGTACAGTGTCATATAGGAGACGGAACATGAAAAGTGGTTTCATAAAACCTGGTTTCAAATTCAAGTGCAACTAATGCCTGTGGAACTGAGTAAGTCCAAGCCTCATTTCTACCCTGTTTTCGCAGCTGCCAAAAGTTAACAAGAGTAAGAATTCGATTGTGGACCCCAAGGTGACGGTGGAGATCCACGGCGTGGGCCGGGACGTGGCCAGCCGCCAGACCACAGTGGTCACCAATAACGGTACGTGCTGAGTCTGGGCTGGGCCCAGCCGCTGCAGCCGGTGTCCCTGCTGTTGATACAGTGCTTGTACCCCTAGGTTTCAACCCGTGGTGGGACATGGAATTTGAGTTCGAGGTGGTTGTGCCTGAGCTTGCCCTCGTGCGCTTCGTGGTCGAGGATTACGCCTCCTCCAAGAACGACTTCATTGGCCAGAGCACCATCCCCCTGAACAGCCTCAAGCAGGGTGAGTTTTGTGAAGGGGAGGGGATGGCAAGGTGGGCGGAGGCAGAGCCTGGCATCTCTTGGGCTTGGGTTGAGGGTTTTTATAAAAATCATAAGACTAAGTCCTGTGGTCTCTACCTGCACAACAGAAAATTCCATAAAGTACGCGCCTGTGTGTGTCCCAGAGCACTGAACCCCGCACCTGGCTCCCCACCTCCCACGCTTACACTGTATGGAGGACGCTGTCTGTGCCCCTGGGCAGGAGGGGCCACCAAGAAACAAACCCCTGCATGGAGGAGAGTACAGAGAGACCACCCCGCCCAGCCCCAGAGGCCCTCCCCGGAGGCGGACTGCTGAGTGACCCAGACTTGAAAGCCCACACGCCACACCTTGTGAGGGCCACACGCTTTTATTGGCAGGGAGGGGGTAACCCAGGAGTCCCTCTGGGGCTCAGGTGCGTGTGGGGGAGTTATGCGGGCTCGGCCAGGTGAGGGGCGCAGGGAGGAGCAGGCCCGGGTCAGAAGAAACCGAGCTGCTTCTTCTCCTGCTGCTGCTTCCACTTGGCCATGCCGTAGAATTCCTCCTTGGACTTCCCAAAGATGTCTTGGAAGTCAGAGTCTGAGAGATAGAACTGGGGGTGGGGGAGGCGGATACAGGGACGGGTGTCAACTGAGCCCAGAATTCTTTCCCACCCGGAGGTGTCATCCCAGGGCTTACGGCTGTCCTCTCCCATCTCTGACCATCACCGCATCTGGAACACACATCTCCCCAGACAGCCTGCCCACTGCCCACCATCAGTGTGTCACCTAGGTCTGAGGTACACTAGTGCTGGGGCAGTGAGTGGCAGGGAGTCTCAGGCACCTACCTCCTTTTGGGCGGGGTCCACACCCACTGGCAGGTTCTTGGCAGTCTTGTACATCAGCTGTTCACGGGGCAGGCCCCCATTGATCATGGATCTGGGGCTGTTGTGGTAGTTGCTGGTGCCGGTGCTGGTGCTGGTGCTGCTACTGATGCTGCTGATGCTGGTGCTGATGCTGCTGATGCTGGTGCTGATGCTGCTGATGCTGATGCTGGTGCCGATGCTGCTGATGCTGGTGCCGGTGCTGGTGCCATCCACCTTGGGGCCCAGCTCCAGCTCATTTTCTGATCTGTCCTGGGAGCCCTTGAGGGCCTGTAGGGCCAAGGAGCCTGGACTGCTATTGCTTGGCCATCGGGACAGCCGGAAGTTGTTGACTTCCTGTCCATAGAGGGGACTCAGGCTGGGGACGATGAGGATAGGCTCCCACAGGAAGGCCACACTGAGCCCACCGGCCCTCTTGCCCCCAGCTGCAACCCCCTCCACCCACCAGGGCCTGGCTCCTTCCCTGCCCATCCTGCCCATCTGGGTCATGCCAACTGAGCCAGACCCCAAGGGGAAGCCCGGGAGGACCCTGTACTCACAGCTGTTATCTCAGTGATGGCCGTTATTGTGTCCAGGCTGCCCTCCACCAACTCCCTGTAGGACTGGTTGTTCTGGGGGCAAAAATCAGGGGGTGAGACAGAAGGACTCCCCATCTGCGAGGACCTGAGGACGAGACCAGGTCTCCCCAATCCGCATTGGAGGTCCCCAGGCAGGGCAGTGCCTCCTCTCAGTCTGCCCAGGCAAGCCCCTCTCCCCTGGATTAGGGTGGGGCGGGGGTTCAGACCTCACTCTCAGTCCACTTGTAGGGGTCCCAGGCAAGGAACCATCCGGTGAAAGTGGGAGGCTCATGGCCCTGCTTGATGAGCACGATGGGTATGGTCTGGCTCCTCCGCGCCGGGTGGGTCTGCAGGTACTCCCGGCCCCAGGCCACCACCTCCTCCTTCTGCTTGCTCACAGCTTCTCCCAGCCACAGGAAGATCTGGGCCAGAGGGGCTGGCCGTGGGCGGGGGAGGGGATGCCCAGAGCCGACCACTTCCTTCCCGCCTCTGTCCATCAGATGGTCTCAGAGCCCCCCAAACACACCGGGCACACAGCAGGTTGGCCGCCGTATCCACACACCCACAGACACCCCAGAAGATCACAGGCATACATGTACGCATGCATTCGATCCACCAATAGTCACTGAGTACCTACTGTGGGCCAGGGGGTTCAACAGTGAAACAAAGAAGAGACAAAGATCCTTGCTCTTATAGAGCTTTTGTTTTATTGGGGGAGACAGAAAAATAAGTAAAATGTGTAATATATCAGATGGAGAAAAATGAGGCAGGGAAAGAGAGAAGGGTGGTGATGGTGGGAATGGTGTACTTTCGTTTTTTTGTCCTCACCTGAGGACATTTTTCCATTTTTTTGTTCAGATAGAGTGGGAGGGACAGAGAGGAAGAGAGAGAGAGAGAGAGAGAGAAACATTGACGTGAAAGGGACACATGGAGTGGCTGCCACCCGCATGACCCAACCAGGGCCGGGGACAAACTGCAACCGAGGTACATGCCCTTAGCGGGAATCGAACCCGGGTCTCTCTGGACCACAGGCCGACGCTCTAAACGCTGAGCCAAACCAGCCAGGGAGGAATGGTGTACTTTTAAATTCAGGGAGAGCCTTACTGAGAAGATGACATTTGAGTGAAGATCTGCAGGAGGTGAGGGAGCAAGGCATGTGTATGTCTGGGGAGAAAGTGTAACCAGAAGAAACAACCAGTGCAAAGGCCCTGAGTGTGCCTGGCATCTGAGGAGCGGCACAGAGGCCGTTGTGGCTGAAGCGGAGCAGGCACAGGGAACGGGACCCATCAGGCTGAAGAGTTAGTGTCTCCAGGCTCTGCAGGGTGGTGGGGCTTTGCTTTTGCTCTGAGCGACACGTGAGTCTACGAGCCTCATCACAGTCACACTGTCATAGACGGTGACACAGGCACATCCATGATCACAGCTACAGAGACACATCACCCATCACCACAGCCAGACAGCAAGTCACAGCCACACACTGTCACCCAGTCACACACAGCTACACACTTGATTACACAGTTACACACAACCAGCCTGAAAAACACAGGTAGCCCGGAAAACCACCGCATACAGCCTCACAGAAACAGCTGCCCAGCCACGCCAATGCAGCCACCCAGTCACACACACCTCACCGGTTGTGGCTGGTCTGGCCAGTTACGGGCAGTTACCTGACCATACAGACACTCCACACAGTCACATACACAAAAGCAAAGGCATCACACATGCACACACGGTCAGTTACTCCACTCGACACGGACACGTCGGCCCCAGGCAGTCGTCTGCAGCCACACACTATTTGAAGGCACAAGGAGTCACATATAATTACAACGCCTGCCACGGTCACACACAAGTTCCAGACACACAGTCAGAGCCTCACAGTCACAGTCACACAGACTCACCTGCAGCATACAGGCAGTCCTATGGAGAGGAACGCACAAGGACACACGCTCACACCTCGCTACTCAGATACAGACACGCCCCAGTAGCACGGGGTGGCCTACCTCCTGCCAGGTGTCCAGTAACATGACATCATACTTGTCCAGGTCGTCCTGGCTGAAGAACACGACCTCCATGAGGACCAGGTGGCCGTTGTGGCCGGAGCACTCAAACAGCCGTGGCTGGAAGCTGGAGACGTCCTCAGGGAGGCTGGCCAGTGTGGGCAAAGGCCGTGAGGGGTGCAGCCTGGGCCAAGCTATCTCTTGGCACAGGGGCCCCTGCCCCAGGGGCTGGGCCCTCCTCTGAGTGCCACCCACCCTGCTCCCCTCTGGGCCTCCGTGTCCCAGTCTGTCAGTGGGGAAGCAGAGTGGGTGATGTGTCTGCTCCAGGCAGCTGTGGTGCAAGCTGCCCCTGGACTTTCCCCAGGAAGGGCCCCAGAAAGGGCTGGGCCTGGGCTGGAGCCAAGTGCTCCTTGGGGAAGAGGAGCTGCTGGCCCCACCCCTGGACAGGGTTGGCCTCTGGCCCAAGGTGGGAGGAGGGAAGTTAGGCTGAGAAGGGGACAGTAGTACTTAGGAGCTCAGGAGACTTGGGGGGGGTGCAGTGCACAAACCAGGCCCCCCAGATAATACAGAGCGGCCTAGGACTCAGCTCATCCTTCCTTTGAGGCCTCACTCTGCCTTCCCCTCTGATACACACCTTTGTGCACTTACACACCACACATACACTGTTCTTGCACACTCCACACACACACACACACACACACACACACACAGCACCACTCTCCTGGGGACTGGGGTTGGGGAATGGCTTCTGCCTGTGGTCCAGGACTGGGACCATGCAGGGAGCACATTGAGCCAGCAGAGGGCACCACTGCCCTGCTTCCCCTGCATCTTCCTGATCCAAGTTACCCTGGGTTGGGGATTGAAGGGGCGAGGGGGGTGTGCTCCTGGGAGCCCCAGGGATGGGGAGCCAAGAGTTCTCAGTTCTAGTCTGGCTCTTCCAGCTCCTTGTGTGACCGTCCATTAGTCACCCCACCCTCTTGGGGCCTCAGATTCATCCCCTGTGTAAGAACGCCCTCCTCCCAACCCTGTCACCTCTTGTTGCTGGGGTAGGGAGCCCTGCCTCCCAGGGCCTCCCAGAAGTGGGGAGGCTCCTGACCCTCCAGCACTGTTTCCTGATCCATGTTCCCAGAGACGACAGTGACCACCTTCCGCGCCATCACACGCTGGTCACCACTGCAGCCCTGGCAGGCAAATAGCTGGGTCAGGCCCTGCAGGGGAGGGGTCTTCACTTCCAACCCCGCAGCTGCCACTCACAGGGGCCTGAGTCACAGGAGGCCTGGGCTGATGGGAGGACATGCACAAACAAGGGAGCCCCCTTCCCGCCCCTCTGGCCTCTGTCTCCCCAGCTGATCAGGGTCTCAGGGACTGGGACCCTCTTTGGGTCCAGAGCATGGGATGGGGACTCCTAGGCTTGGAGATCATTCATGGTTTATGCTGAAGATCAGAGAAAATTCTGGTAAACTGAGCTAGGCCTCCTCCTTTTCCCAAAAGACTTGGGAAGGGGCAGGCTCTCTGTTCGAGGCAGGACGGAGGGGAGGCAGCCTGCGTCTGTCCCGGCTCTGACCTGTGGACTCCAAGTCCATCTGTCACTTTACAACGGCCCCAGGTTCATGCCTGCCTGCTACCCCCTCCAGGCCTGTCTCAGGCTGGACTGGAAGCCTCAGACCTCCCCGTGGAGCGGCCTCAGCCTGCCTGCCACCACTGCCCTGGCGTGCCTTGAGTGGCTGGTGTTGGTGGTACCTTCCCAAACCAGATGTAGCAGATGCTGCCTGTAATCAGCAAGAAGATGTCACTGGAGTTGAGGGTGGAGGCCCGGGCTGGCACCTCCATGATCCTGGTGTTGTAGCTGTCGGTGCCTTGCACGTGGAAGAGCCTCGTGGCAGACGCTGGCTGCCCCCTCCCACTGTGCCCCGCGCTACCCTGCAAGAGGGCCAGGCATCAGCTGGGCCAAGGGCCCCCAGGGGCCGCCCGCCCCTGTGCGGGACAGACTGCCTCAAGGCTCAGGGATGCCTTTCTTAAAGCCACCGTTTCCTGGACCCTCTGGGTGTGGCATGTGAGGGTCCCGTGGTCTAGGATAGGACCAGGCCTTTCCAAATGGATCCCTCACCCCATCCCCAAGGGGTCAGGACACAGTTCCCCCAAGCCTGAAGGCAGAAAGTGGGGACCGGCTTTGCCCGTATGTGACCCCAGGCAAGGTCTTGGCTTCTGATCAAACTTCCTGGCCTGTGCTCCTGCGGTGTGGCTGGCTCCGAGGACTAGGGGGCGAAACTTAGGCGGGGGTCACCCTTGGAGCTCAGGCCCTTGGACAAGCACCCAGAGACCAGAGTGAGGGCGGGGTAAGCGGGTCCCCCCGGCCCGAAGCGGTGTTCGCGTGTGCATGTGAGGGTCGCCGGCACTGGAGGAGCTGGGAGGCTGCGGTGGGTCCTACCTGGAAGACCACCATCTGGCCCTGGAAGATGGCGAAGAAGTGCTTGGGCTCACTGCCCATGGTCACGTGCTCGTGCACCAGGGCTCCGTGGTACAGGAGGTCCAGCTCCTCGGCGTTGCCGTTCAGGGCCTTGATCTCTTGTGCGGTGGCCTCCTGGCCCTGCAGACGGGGTGGGGAGGCCCTGGAGCAACTCTAGACCCCGTTTGCACATCTTCAGCCTGAAGCTGAAAGGTGCCGTCCTCCCTTGGGCCTGCGTACCTGCCACAGGTACAGGATGTACTTGGTGTGACCCATCCTCTGGTATGTGTAGAAGACAAGGTAGCAGTTGCCTGCATAAAACTGTCCATGATGCTTGGGCTCCACGGGTTGCCTGCCTGAGTCCTGGATGCACCACACCTGGGGAACGGGACCAATGGGCACAGGTGTTCCTCCGCCTGAACTCAGCCTGTGCCCAGTCAGAAAGCTTTCCTCAGCCTCATCTCTGCAGGCAGGGGGCTCATCCCCAACTCTGCACCTACCCCACACTCTGTGCTGGGCTTGTGCAAGGAACTGCGGGTGACCCTGTCCCCGATGGGGCTCTGAGACCCTCCACACTTGTGCTGCCTGCTCTCACCCAGGACTCTGAGTTGGCAGTGGTACCTGGGACAGACAAGTGGTGAGCACCCCAGAGGCTGCCAAGGCAACCTGACCCCCGCCACAGCACTGCCACCTGACCCCCAGCCACGGCACGGGTCAGGGCAGACAGGTCCTGGCGGAACTGCTCGCTGCTCGGGCCAGGGCCACGGGCGCTGGACAGAAGGGAGGCCTTGGGCTCTTGGAAAAATTCCCTTTTTCCAAGGGCCACTTGGAAATACAAAGCCTATTCAAAGACAGACATGAAAACACTCCCTCACACTTGGTGCAAGTCCTTGTCCCTGTGGGTAGTGAGCATGGGCTCTGGAACCAGACAAACCTGGTCAGTCCCAGCTCGGCCTGTGTTGGCCGTGAGACCTTTGTTTTTCCCACCTGTACCGCGGGGCTAACTGCACCCACCTCGACATGGCAGGAAACACTGCCTGGGCATCCCGTGCCCACACAGAGCCTGGCAGCTGTCTCTGGGGAGGTCTCCTCCAGACCAGAGCTTCCAGAATCCTGCCTCTTTCAGAAAAGGACTCTGGACATTCACCTCCCAGGAGCAGCACCTCCCTGGCCGCCTGGCTGGAGCCTCTTCCCTCGTCCTGTTCACCAGCTGCCGAGAGGGACGCCCTCTCTGCCTTTCGCCTGGGACCTGGGCCACAGCCTCCGTCCTTCCCTCCCCGGCTCTCCTCTGCTGTCCTGTCTTCCCCTCTCCCAGCTCCCCCTTCCTCCCTGCCTTGCCCTGTCTCCCCATTTCCAGCTGTCCTCACTCAGGGCCTTTGTCCATCCATAGTCGGGCACTTGTAGGAGGAAACCTTGGAGAAACAGTATTTTCTCTGACCTTGACCTACCTTGAGAGCTAGAACCCCTCAATAAGCCCCGCAGTCCCAGGATCTCACAGCATCCCCACACCAGCCTCGAGACCAGATTGGACCACAGTTTTTGCCCCCATTTTATAGAAAAACAACCCAAACAAACCCAAGGCACAAAGAAACTGGAGGCTCTGTCCAGGGGTTCAGCAACTCTGCCCTGTGTAGAACCTGAAAGTGTTCCCCAACCCCTCTCCCAGAACACGGGTCTGAGACCAGACAGGGGCTGACAGTGTGCGGCTGTGTGCTGGGGGTTGGGTGTGTGGGACGTACTGGTTCTGGGACTATGTACCTGCGCTGAGGTGTCCCTGCGGGTTCATGGTTGTATGTGGCCAATCGTGTGATGCAGAATTTCTGCAATTTATTCTTGCTGTTGTGCACTGGGCTGTGACTAGGTGCCATGGCAAGGTGTATGTGTCTATGTTATCATCCGTGTGGCTGTGTCACGCATGTGACAAAGGGCACGAGCAGGCGTCTGCGTGTTGCTGTGATGTGATGTGAGTGGCCATGCCTGTGGGGAGGGGGCACGCACACGGACCCCTGCCCCTGGGTGTCCCTGTGTGTACATGACCCCTGAGAGCAGCGGGGTGGCTTCGCAGCCGTACTGGTCACCCGGAGGAAAGGCCTACCCTGCGTGCCCACCGCCTTCCCCCGAGCCCGGCCGAGGCCCACCTCCACCTTCCCAGCGCCGCCGTCCACCATCCTGAGCCGGGCGGCTCGCTCGGGCTGGCTGTGCAGCCTGCTCAGGTCCGCCTCCGCCTGACCCGGTTTCTCTGCGGGAGGGGCAGAGGGTGTCACCGGCGCCCGTGGCCCTGCCTGGCCCCACGGCCACCTCATCCGCCCCCACCGACCCACCACGGTTCAAGAAGCCCCTGCTGCCACGTCCCGCACCCACCCCGCGGGGGCTCTGGGTGCCCCGCCGCCCGCCCGCCCCGCTCACGGATCCATCGGAGGTTCGCGGTCTTGTCCTGGTCCTTGGACCACCTCCGGAAGAGCTGCGTGAACCCCGCGGACTCGGCGCCCTCGTTCAGCACCTCCACGTTGGTGTAGGGGGGGTAGCCCTTGGCCTCAATGAAGCCCTGGGACGGGGGCTCCGTCAGGGCACAGAGGGCACCGCTCCGCCCCTGGGGACCCGCTGCCCGGCTGCCGCCCGAGCACCGAGCTGCAGTAATTAACCGAACTCATGACCCACTTTCTGGAGCTGGGCTGCCACTACCGACTTCTCCGAGGTCCCTGAGGACAGGCAGGGTCCCCTTAGTCGGGGCCACAGGGAGGGACAGCCTGGACAGCCCGGCAGACTCAGGGAGAGCCCCATGGCCCCTCGTGGAAAAGGAGGGGCGCCCAGTGCGCTAGGCCCCTCAGACCTCGAGGCAGGGCGCAGCACCCTCCTCACACGGTCCCCCCACCGCTCCCCCCTCAGGGCAGACCACAGGCCCGGCCCCCAGAGCTGCTCCTCCCGGGGCAGGGCGGTTTGCCTCCAGGCTCAGAGCCCAGAGGGTCATGCCCTCCGTCGGACAGGCCCTAGGGCAGGACATACCTTCCTGCCTCCCCTTTCAGGCCCCAGGTCACGGATGTCCCCTAGCTCAGACTTCAGGGTAGGACTGTGCCCTTCCTCAGAGCCCAGGGAAGGGCTGCCTCCCCTCCAATACCAGGGCTGTGCCCGTCCCTCCGACGGGGCCCACCCCTCACCAGAGCCTGGCTGAAGGACGACCTTAGCTCCGGGGGCTTGGACCTGCGTCCCTGCCACACGTAGATCTTGACACCCCCTTGGTCCAGGATGCAGCAGTCCTGGGAGCAAGAGTAGGCCGGTCAGCAGCCATCCAGACTGGGGCGAGTTGTGGGGTGAGGGGGAATGGATGGGGTGACTGGGGCCAGGCCTGCCTCACCTCCTCATGCAGTAGGTCTTGGGTCAGTAGGCAGGTTGCCAACTCCTGGATCACCAGGTCCTTACCCTTCTCGTGGACCCTGGGGGACAGGCATCCGGATGTAGGCAGCTCAGCCTGTTCCTGGCCTGGCTCCCCTCTAGTCACTATAGCCCCCCACCCCACCCCAGGTGAAGGCATGGGGGCTGGGCCCTGAGCTGAAGCCCTGACTTCACAGCAGCCTTGCTGGGGAGCCTTAGGCAACCCCCTGGCCTTCTCAGGGCCTTGTGCCCTGTCTGTGCAATGGTTTCCCTGAAAGGCAGCCGTGCGGGAGTATAGGTCAGGCCCACGGTCCCACACGGCCTCCCCCAGAAACCCATGAGCCTTCTAGAGACCCCGTGCTATTGCCGTCATGATGGGCACGCAGGCCTGGCCTATTCCACCCACCCTGCCCACTCCCAAGGTCTGCTCACCGGTAGAGGTGGACTCGGGCCTTCTGCAGCTGGGTAATCGTTTTGTTGGGCAGGACAGTGAACAGGCTGCCCACTCTGCTGCCCAGCACAGCTTCCATGATCTCCATGAGGCCAGAGGCTTTGTCCTCATCATCCACCACGCCGATCTGTGCACGACCAGCACGCTCCCTGTCCTGGAGGCTGCGGGTCAGGGCCAGGCCCTGCGGGAGGTCCTGGCTGTCAGGGCTTCCCCATCATGTCCCCTCACCGTCAGACAGCATCCCAGATCCCTCCTGTCACTGCTCAACCCCAGCGGCTGGGGGAGGGTGTCCCCTCATGCTGGCATCCGGAGGTACCACCAGGGTCTGGGTGCAGCTTACCTGGCAGTTGCTTTCCAGGTTGTGGCAGAGAGCCAGGCCTACCTCTTGGGGTGGCCAGAGAGTGAGCACACGGAGGACCCCCTCTCCCCAAGTCCTGCACCCCTCTGTTCCCAGGGCAGACGCCTACCCGTGCCTTCTCAGAATTGCTGCTCTTGGGCCCATTCCACTGGATCATCACCTTGCCCAGGTCCAGCAGAAAGATGTCACTCTTATTAAAGCTGTCCCAGGAGAGCTCCACCTGCCAGAGCCAGGAGGGGCCGGGAGGGGCCAGGGTGTCATACCTCCAGCACCCAAGGGAGGGTACCACAGCCTGTCCCTGCCTACGAGAGCATAGCTTCATGTGTCACTTGTGTACATGAAGCTGTGTGCAACTGTATGTATGTGTGCCCATGACACTACTATGGTGTGCAGGCATGCATCTGTGTGACCATAGGACACCCTGAGGGTCGCGCTGTGGCTGTGGCTGTGTGCATCTCTGGGCATGTGTGGCTGCAGGCAGTGCTATGTTCCATAGGGTGTACACAACTATGACACTTCACTCAGGGCATGTCTGTAGCTGTACATGTGTATATGCACACGTGTACACAGCTGGAGGGTACATGTTTATCCATGTGTGTAGATGTGTGTGTACATGTACACTTGCATATACGTGTGGGGGCACACGAAATATGAACAAGTGTGTGAGCTCATGGGTGACAGTGTATGTATGCCTGTGTGGAGAAGTGTGCTATCTATGGATAAGCATAGTTATCATCCAGACAGAAAGTAAAAGGGGAGACTTAAATAATTATTCCAGGATGACAGGCGAAACCTGGGGCTGCATGGTGGCCCTGCGCGACCAGGGACGTGGTCACTGAGTCTGGGGGAACAGTGTGCGAGCCTGTGTGGGACTGTCTTGGAGTCTCAGGGCTGCCGCACGCCACGCAGACAGCAAGGAGCACAGCTCAGGTCCATTCACATCACGGACATCAAGCACCGGAATGTTCATTCCCCCAAATTCCTGCCACATGGCAGCAGAGTCTTGTTCAGCCAAGATTGGCGTTTCATTAATTTCCAGCAGATGGAGACAGGGGCACTCTGTTCTCCACTGCACAAGGGCACTCAGTGGCCTAGAGTGGCCCCAGGGGTAAGAGTGGGAGACAGTGTGTGTGCCCACAGGTGACAATGACAATGTGTATGAGTATGGGGCCATGCACCCCCCACCCCAAATCATGCTTCTTTCCCTCGTATAAGGACCATCCAGGTGCACCCTCTGGACTGCCTCAGCGCCCCGCCCCACCCCAACTTCTTACTATGGCCATGAGGTGGGTGAAGAAACAGAGGGTCAGGGGGGCCACTGTGGAGTGGCGCTAAAAGCCTGACTCTGCCTTCTCTCTCCTCATTCGAGATAGGCCATCTGGCCGTGGGCCGGTTTGGCTCCGTGGTTGGAATGTTGGCCTGTGGCCCAGAGAGTCACAGGTTCGATTCCGGTCAGGGACATGTACCTTGGTTTGGGTTCAATCCCTGGCCCTGGTTGGGGTTGTGTGGGAGGCAACCAGTCAATGTGTCTCTCTCACTCAATGTTCCTCTCTCCCTCCCTCCTCCCTCCTACTCTACCTGAAAGTCAATGGAGGAATATCCTTGGGTGAGGATTAAAAAAATAGAAAGTGATAGGCCATCTGGAGATTGGGTGCTAGACTTATTCGAGTGATCACTTTGTAAGTTATATAAATGTCTAATCACTATGTTGTACACCTGAATCTAATATAATATAGTGTGTCAATTGCAATTGAAAAATAGATAGGTCATCTGGGAATGATGACAGCCTGTGGTTCCCCCCATTCCCCTGGCACCCTCCACATGTCCCTAGACATCGGTACACAAAGTCTGGCTGATCCAGGGGTCAGGTGGCATTCCTGGTATGCTCACCTCGGTGGCTGACACATGCTTCCTCCCTCTGATGCGTAGCAGTCGCCGGATGTTGTACATATTGGTCTCCACATGCTTGAGGGCAGAGGCCAGCCCTCCCTTCCTGTAGCTGAGGAGGGAATGAGGTCCCATGTAAGACCACACTGCCATGTGCAGGAGAGAGTGCAGATTTGAGCACATGCATGCACACATGTGGGGATACGCACGTGTCTGCTTAATACATGTGTGCAAGTAGCTAGGAACATGTGTACAAGCACATGGCTACATGTGGTGCAGGAGTGTGCATGTGTTTATCTATGTGTTAATATGTGAACACATGCATTTACAGATACATATATTTCTATGAGGGCACAGTGTGTGTCTGTTTATCCATGTGTACAGATGCAAATACATGCACATGCACATACATATACCTGCACATGCACATACAAAGCACTTGTATACAAGTGGGAGCAGGAGTATCTGTTTATCCATGTAAGTATAGATATGAGAGTGTGGAATTCGGGTGACAACATATGTGTGTGTAAGTGGACATGGCTATTCATGTGTGTGTAGGTGTGCCCACCTGTAGGTGAACACATACAGCAGTGGCATATTTCCTGCATGTGTGTATGTGTTCATGTACACACTATCTGCATGCATTAGGTTCAACTGCATAAAACAGAAATGATCAAATATTGGCAGTTTCCTATGGGTCAACCTAATACATTGCAACTATTAATTTACTACATATTTCAAGCAATTAACAGCAAAAGACCTATTTCTTCTGGGCACAGTGACATAAAGGCAAATTCAAAACAACATGAGTGTCCCCCCTAGGTGTATACCCAAGAGGAATGGAAAACATGTCCACACAAAAATTTGTATAAAATAATGGATGTTAACTAAACTTAGAGCAGTAATCATTTCACAATATTCGTAAGTCAAACCATTATGTTGTATACCTTAAACTTACATCGTGGTACATGCCAATTATATTTCAATAAAATGGGAAAAAAAGCTTGTGTACAAATGTTAATAACAGTATCATCCATAACAGCTAAGAAGTGGAAACAACGAAAATGTGCCCTACGTGTGAACACATCATAAAATGCGGCAGTTCGAATATCATGTGCTGCATAATCCCATTTACGTGGAATGTCCGGACTAGGCAGATCTGTACAGAGGGGGCAGGGAATACTGAGGGGAAATGGGGAGTGGTGGAAAGGGTATGGGGCCTCCTTTGGGAGGATGAACATGTTCTAAATTTGGCGATTGCACAAACCTGTGAATATACTAAAAATCTGCAAATGGTGCACTTTAAATGGCGAGTTGTGTGGTGTGTGACTTGTAGCTCAATAAGGGTGTCAGCCGTCCCCAAACACTCTACACACAGGGATGAGGGAGGTGGTCACTCTGGCCACCCCACTGCTCTGTCCATTCCCCAGCCCCCACAGCCCTCTCACTCACATGATCCCTGGGCGGATGTAGCTGCAGAAACAGTCGGATTCGTGCTCCTGCACCTCCCGGTGCAACACGGTGGCGCTACCCAGGGTCTCCTGCAGGCGCCGCAGGAAGGTGCTCGCCACGGCCTGCGCCTCTGTGTCCGCCTTCTTTCCGATCCAGTAGTGCAGGTCCTTGGCTGCCCCCTGCGCAGCCTTCAGGCCCTGGGGGACCTAGGGCGCAGGTGTTTGTGGGGGGAGGGGAACCGAGGTTCCAGGGTGGGGGAGGGACCCAGGGCCAAGGCATGAATGGACACTGAGGTCAAGGTCCGACGTGTGCCAAAGGCTTTGGAGAGATGGGGCAGGGGATCTAGAACGGGGAGGACGGGGCTAGGAGGCCTCAGCAGCAGCAGCCCCTCTGTGGAATGGGATTTTAGGGCCTCAGCAGGCCTCTCCCAGGGCAGAGCTCACTCTGCACCGTCAGGCTCCCCAGCGGGCTGTGCCACCCTCTCAGACAGAGGCCCGGCTCACGTGGAGGACGATGTAACAGTGCTCCTCAAAGAAGTTCCCGTAAGCGCTCTCGGGGACGGGCACCATCTCCAAGTTCTGGGAGAGGAAGGTGCTTAGTGACAACTCAGGAGACCCCCCTACACCCATGGCCCTCTGGGGTTGGGGGGACTCTGAGTTGAGGCCCAGGAGAAGCCTAGTTCCAGAGATCACACCCTTCTGTGGCAGCTGGCCCGCCATGCCCCTACCTCAATGATCCATATGTGGAGGTCCCTGTGGCTCTGGATGTCCGGGAGGCTCTTGGTGTCCATCCTAGGCCAGGCGGGTGGGAGGAAGGAAACAAGAGCCAGAGTTTTCAGACCCCGGCCTCCAAACAAGAACTCTCCCTGCCTACAGCTCTCCAAGGCACCTCATCCTTGCACGTGCCTTTCATCAGGAGGGCTCCAGGACGCACACGCGCCTGCAAACCAGGGCCGGTGCTGCAGACCTGCCACAGAGAGGCTTTGAAACAGGGACTTGCTTTGCATCTGTGGTTGTGCTCTTGGAATAGGGCTGAGCTCCGTGGACAGGGATAGGCCTTGAACATAGGTACAACCTCTGTAAACAGACGGAGATAGAGACAGGCTATGCAGACAGACAGAGGGATACGTTCGGGACGGTCACTGTAGACAGTGATAGGTTATGCAGACAGGCTTTGCTAGTAAGAGCAGATTCTGCAGGCAGGGACAGGCTCTGCGAGCAGGGACAGAGCTGCAAATAGGCATTGGCTTTGAGGACCATTCAGAACAGGTGATGCAGAGACAGCGCACCTGCAGAGAGGGAGAGGCTCTGGACAGGGAGAGGCTCTGCCTGCAAGCACAGGCTCTGTGAACAGGGACAACAGCTTCCTCAGATGGAAGAACAGGCTGCAACAGGCACAGGTTCTCCTAACCAGGTCTGTAGCCAGGGACTGTCTGCGTGGATAAGGACAGTCTGTGTAGAGACACAGACCCTACACAGGCAAAGCTTGTGGACACTGAAAAAGACTCTATAGTCACAGGCTCTGCTGGCATGGAGGAGCTTGGCAGCCTGGGAAGGGCTCTGGGAATGTGGTTGGGGCCGAACCCTTAAGACAGGCCACAGACTTTGATAAGGGACAGACTGCAGGTAGGGACAGGGAGATGGATGGTTAAGGTCTGCAAACAGGCACAGCATCTGCAGCCAGAGAAATGCTCCCCAGACTGAAGCGGGCTCTGGAAGGAGGCAACAGCTCTCGGCATGGCCAGGCCCTGCACGCAGGGACAGCATCGGGAAGAGGACTGGAGCCCGCCTCCAGGGAGATGGGAGCAGGCCGGGCAAACATTCATGAACTTGACAATGAGAGCCAGGCTCTGAAAAAAGACACGGGCCCCTGGAGACAGACTTTGCAGATCGGGAGAGGTTTTGTAAGCCCACACAGGCTCTGCAAACAGACGGGCTCTGTTATCAGGGACAATTTCTTCAGGGGTGGCGGGGTCTGCTGAGAGCAGCTGGCAGGCACAGGTGCCCCAGACAGGGACAAGATCTTGAAACAGGGCTGGGCTCTGGAGAGACCCCGCGTTCTGCAAACAGGGACAGGCTCTCTAGAAAAGGATGAGCTCTGGCGACAGGTGAAGCTCTGTAAAGAGGGACAGGTGCTGCTAACAGGTACACGTGGGATTAGGACTTCGTGTGCAGGCAGGCAGAGGCTCTGCCAACTGGGCGGTGCTCTACAGAAGGTCACAGGTGCTCCCAGATGGACACAATGACCCGACAGTGAGAAGCTCTTCCTAGGAATAGGTCTCGCAAGCAGACATCGTTTCTATCCAGGCAAATTCAGGCAGAGGCCTTGGAAAATGTCATAGGCTGGACAAATAGGGCTCGGGTCCTGCAGACGGAACCAGGCTCTGAAATAGGAACAGACTGCAACGAGTGACATTGTCTAGAGACAGACACTTATGCAGAGGAAGCAGGTTCTTCGGACAGGGACAGGTGTGCACCGGCAAAGCTTCGCAAACAGAAAAAGTGTCTTTAGTCAGAAAGACGTGTTCCAGACAAGGACACCAGACAAGCTCTGTGGACAGCTGGACGTGCAAGGCAGCTTCTGCAGTCAAAGCCAGTCTCGCACACGGAGAAATAGGGACAGAGTGTCTAACCAGACCCAGGCTCTGAAAATAGGCTCGGGACAGAAACAGGCTCTGCAGACAAGACAAATGGTCTGCGGACCCAGGACAGACAGCACACTGGACTGTCTCTGAAGACGGTGCCAGACTGCAGCAGGCTGAACTAAGAAGTCACTCCTTTCTGAATGTCATTCCCAGTGGGCCTGGGTGAGGTTAGCTATCTCCCCTCCCGCTCCACTGTCTTATCCGTGGGAGGAACACCCTTGGCTCTGCTGACCTGGCGTGACCAGAGGAAACAGGCGGCGCAGAGATACAGTTACAGAAGCAGGGGCCTGGCGTGACCGCTCAAACAAAGTGGGTCCCCAAGGGCAGGGCTCAGGCCCCGGTGAGCTCACAGGACACCCGGAAACACCCAGCCTCTCAAAGAGGGCCAAGGTGGCCCTGGCAGGGGGTAGGGGGTGGGGGGTGGGGGCGGGGAGCTCTCCAGAGCAGGGGCAGGTTCTACTGAAGCCTGGGACCCCCTGGAACACACTCTGGAGACCACGGATGCTGTTGGTGTGGATTCCTGAGACCAGGGGCTTGTTTACTGCCAGCTCCCAGCTGCCTGACACCCAGCAGGTGCTCAGCAAATAGTTGTTGAATGAACGAACCTGTGGCCTGTGACTGGACTGAGGGAAAGTGGATGGAAAAGGAAAGTCTGTCCCCAGAACTGTTGTAGTTGATGGCCTGTTGGTACGACAGTGATCTGAGGGACTGGCAGACACGCTGACCCTGGAAAGATGGTCTCAAGCAACAGGGTGACACCGTGGGGTGACACCAAGTGCCAGGCACGTGACACTCAGAGCTGATGGGGCAGAAGCAGTGGCCAGGGCACAGGCAGGCAGTGGGCAGAGGCATCGCTCTGAGAGGCAGATCATGCGACAGAAAGCGACAGGAAGGTGGGCTGGCTCAGCACAGTGGTCACCACGTGGGACAGGAAGGTGGAACTGGTGGCCAGAACGTTGGGACCAGGCTGATTTCATTGGGTGGGGACAGCGTCATGCCTCAGGGGCTAGGAGCGTGCCCTAATATCCAGTTCCAGTCTGGGGGTCAAACTCTCAGGCTCCCAGGGCCTCATCCCCTTGTGACCTGTGCTCAGTGTCTTCCAACTGGGTTCTGGGGGGATGGGAGAAGGGATGCTCACAGGGTGGGGGTCCCCTCTTTCCCCTAGCATTCCCTCTTCCCCCGAGGCAGTCCCTTTCTCTCTCAGGGGGTCCCTTCCCTCCCCAGAGAGCTCCCCTAACCTGCCAAGCCCCCCCCCCCAGATGTCCCCTTTCCTCTGGAGCACTCCCTCCCATCACCCACCCCGATGGGAGCCCTGCGTTCTCTCCCTGTACTGGAAGCCCCCTTCCTTTTCTCAGGGGCTGGCTCCCTCCACCCAGGGCCCCTTTTCTGTCCCAGATGCCCAGTTCCTCCTCTGGCATCCCCTATTCCCCTCCCCCACCGCCCAGTGCCCCTGCTTTCCTCCAGGTGCCCCTCCTCCCAAAATGTGCCCTCTTTCCCCTGCTCCACCGGCCGGCCCCTTACTCTCCCGATTCCTATCCCACTCAGGCGCTCCCTTCCCCAGACACCCCTGCTTCCCCCAGCACCCCCTGCTTTCTCTCACACCCCTCCCCCTACCCAGGCACCCACTCCCTCCTCTGGCACCCCTTTCTCTCCCCCTGGTGTTCACTGTCCTCCTCCTGAGATACCCGAGGTTACCTTGCCCAGCACCCAGGAAGGGGCAGGGTGCGCCTGCTGGAGTGGGGGAGGCGGGTGGGCCTGGGTCCCCAGGTGTTCCGACTCTGTGGGTGATGGAGACTGCCGCCCACGTGCAGCTGCTACTTTCCTCCCTGTTGGTGGTCCCGCCACGGCCTCCCTGCCCCAACCAGTGTTCTCACTTGTTGGGCTCCTTGATACCTCCCCAGTTCTGCCAACCCCGGGGCAACTCTGAGCCTGTGCCCCCGCCACGGTACACCCCTGACTCAGAACAACCCACCCGACCTGGTGCCCCAGAGCCCCGCCCAGCTGTGCCCCGTGCCTCCTCCCTGCCAGGCTTACCTGCTGGAAACTACTTGCTGGAGACTGCTGGCACCTTCACCCTGTCTGTGGGCAGCGCTGGGCCAGGCACAGGGCCAGGATCTGCCCACAGCATGGCTCCCCCTCCAGTGTAACTCAATCCCTGCTCCTGCCTGCCCCGCAGGCCACACCCCAGGCTGGTGGGCGGGGCATCACACCTGGTCAATCCCTTAGTCCGGCACCAAATAGTGACCCAGCTCTCAGGGCTGGTCAGCAGGCCACCCCTCCTGGGTACAGGTGGCCCAGAGTGCAGGGAATGGGCGCCTGGGCTGGGCCAACATGTGTGTGGGATACAGCCACTTCCCCTCTCTGAGAGCCCAGACCCCAGAAGGCCAGGCACCCCAGCGCATTTTAGGAGGAAGTAGGACCAAGGCTGGAGCGGTGGGGGTGGCAGCCTGGCTCAGTGAGACCCGGGTCACTTCAGGAGGTGGGGGAGGTAGCCAGGGCTCCCTCGAACATCTCTGCTGTCCTCCCCACCCCAATTTGGGCTCCATGCCCGCGGGCACAGCCCTCCCTAGGAAGCCCTGATACCCATCTTGGGAGAGGCCAGTCCGCCCTTACAGAGAAGACACTTTTCACACACTGGCTGACCCTTCCTCTCCTTCCTGACTGTGGGGTGTGGGAGGTGCTGGAAACAGAGCCTTCCAGAGACTCCCGGGGCACAGCCACCCTGCCTTCGGCCCTAGGCCTCGGGCCAGCCAGCGTGCACGCCCTTTCAGGGACACGCTGCTGGACTCGGCCCATGACCCCACGACCCTTTCCCATGTCCAGTCCTCACCTGCCATGGCTCCTGCTGTGGCGGGGAGGGGGCTGCTGGAAATCTGGGTCCATCTGAGCCCAGCAGGACCACCTGCCAGTGTGTGACTGTGTTAACAGTCAGTGGGTCCTGGTGTGCGGGGGGAGGCGTCCTCAGGGCTGTGGGCAGTCCTGTGGGTGTCTGGCCTCGTGTGAGGGAATCCCCTGTTGAGTCCCCTGCTCCTGTACATGACGAGTGGGTTTGGCTCCGCCGGCGCACCTGTCTCCCTGTCTCCTTTTGTCCCTGTGCCCAAACCCCACGCACTCCCTTCTCCTGCTGTCTCCTCTCAGAGTCTCCC